AAAAGAAGCATCCAAGGACATGAAGAGAAAACCCACAGAGTGGGAGAAAATGTTCATGAGTGACACAGCTGACAGAGGTTTAACATCCAGACTATATAACGAACTCAAAAAACTAAGAATCAAGTAAGAAAGCAACCCAATTAAAAGATGGGCTAAGAAACTGAACAGAGCATTCTCAAAATTAGAAATAAAGATGGCTAAGAAGCATCTTAAAAGCTGTTCAACATCATTAGTAATTAGGGAAATGCAAATTAAAACCACTGTAACATTTCATCTTACCCCAGTCAGACTGGCTAAGATCAAGAGAACAAATGATACCAAATGTTGGAGAGGATGTGGGGAAAGGGGAACACTCATCCACTGCTCATGAGGCTGCAAACTTGTTCAACCCCTATGGAAAGCAGTGTGGAGAACCCTTAAAATACTACAAATGAACGTTCCATTTGGCCCAGTTATACCACTACTTGACGTATACCCAAAGAATTCATCTTATTGTAAAGACCCTTGTACATCCATGTTTGTTGCTGCTCTTTTCACAATAGCTAAGAGATGGAAGCAACCTAAGTGTCCCTCAACTGAGGAGTGGATAATGAAAATGTGGTTCATTTATACGATGGAGTTTTACTCAGCAGTAAGAAAGATGAAATCATGAAATTTGCAGGTAAATGGATGGAACTAGAAACTGTTATACTAAGTGAAGTAACACAGACTCAGGAAAAAAAAAAAAAGATGTATGTTCTCCCTCATATGTGGATACTTGTACCAAATCCTTGTAAGCAATTATGTGTCCAGACATAACTACGGGAACCAGGAAAATGGAAAGGAACCAGGGAGGTAAAGGAAAAGAAAGAACCTGAGAGAGAAGAACAGTAGGAAACAGGTGTCGATAAGGGAGATAAAGTTAAAATGGGGTTATTTTATGCACTGCACAGTATCTGCACTCAGCAGCTCCCTGCTGAGTGTGTTCAAAGAGCAGTGCGACAGAAATTTGCCATCTGGCATCACTGGTTTTCTTGGCTTTGGTGCCTATTAAATCTGGTATTTTTATTGATACAGCTGCATATTTTATAAAAGGGTTATTTTAATGAAAGGTGTGAGGGAGGGTTATGCAAGGAACCTTGGAGATAAAGAGAAAGAAGGAGCTCAAGAGAGGTGGGACCATAGGAGAAGGGTATTATTAAGGGATAAATGGGAAAAATGGGGACAACTTTAAATGGGGAAACCATGACGGAAGGGTTAGACAGAGAGATTTATAATGCTTAGCTTCTTTTAAAAAAAGAGGGAACCGGGCGTCGTGGCACACGCCTTTAGTCCCAGCCCTCGGGAGGCAGAGGCAGGTGGATCTCTGTGAGTTCAAGGCCGGCCTGGTCTACATAGTGACAGGACAGCTGGGGCTACAGGGAGACCCTGTCTCAAAAAAGACAAAAAAAAACAAAAACAAAAACAGGGAATCACATTAGTTCCACAACCTACTGACAAATTATGCATGCAACTAGCCCAAGGAACATAATATATGTCTAGTCAAGGTTTATCTGATAACTTTTGGTCTTTGCCTAACCTTTTTCTATATAGCGCATGGTAATTAAAAGTACCAGACTGGTGGAACTAATCTTCTTGGATATTTAACAGCCATACTTTGAGGCCTATACTAATCTGGTCAGAGGGATTTAAAGGACAGTTTTTGCTCCTTGCCCTCCAAGGTCAACTAAGTTCCAGGGGACTATGGAACATCTCTCAAAATGTCCTGTAACTGTGGCGAGTCATCTGTCCTCTTGATCAAGGAGGCCATGGAGACCCCCACCAGATGGGCTTGAACCAGTGTCCAGTCTATAAAGAGGAGGGTCAACACAGAGGAAACATCTCATCCATGCTTCCAAGTGAAGCCAGCCATAGTTGAGCAGGACCTATGACTTCTCTTCACATAGATGGAACTGGTAAAAATAAAGGAGCCAGAGGCTCTTCCCAAACCCATGTGACCCCTTAAGGTCAATAGATCCTCAAATGACGTTAAGAGTAAAAATAAATTGGTTTATCTTGGCCAACTGTATGGTCTTAAACACCCTAAAGGAAAGTATAACCAAAGATTAAAGTGATCAGTATATTTCTTTAACAGTCCATGTGTATAGCTAAAGGCTACATAATAAGAAACAGTGCCAAGCAGAAGATACCTTCCTTTGAGTTGTTGGCCAGGGTGGCCCAAGAGACTCCCAGACAGTAACCCAGCATAGAACTGGGAAAATGAACAGCAGACCCCAATCTTATCTAAAGGAATATTGACAACTGAGTGCTGCTAGATGATGAAGATCTGATTTCCTAAAACACAAACTCTAGAAAGGCTGACTAGATTCGTTGGATAGACAAGCACTGGGGAACGGCTGAGGGCATTGACAGCACAATGGATAGTAACAGGAATGACAGAGTATATGGGCTCCATTTGGGGTGGAGGGGGGAACTCTGGGAGGGTTCCATTTGGGTTGCAGGTATCTAGATGAATAAGACTGTTTGGGATGTTCTGTTTGAAATACAAAGAAAAAAATCAATAAATAAAAAATGAGTTCTATTTGAGGAAGAAGCACAAAAATTTTCTTCATGTTAATTAGAAGATGTGAAAGACATTATCATTGAAACCTACCTGACGTCTTTATATCCATGCTCATGTGCCAAGGATCTCAAAAAGTAACCGACTGTGACTAGTAATAATCATAGAGAGAGAGATTAGAGACTCATGTGCAAACATCTAAGTGTTTGTTGCAGTAAAAATGAGTATATTTTAAAATGAAATGGAGATCTTTCTTAAAGGTCAAAACCTCATTCCGTTTTATGTCTTATAGGGTTTATACTGAGAGCAATATTTTTTAACTGTATTAATGGTGAAACTAAAAATTTAGAGCCAATTTTGAAAAAGATGCATCTTTTCTCTGGAAACTGTTATTGAATATGTCACTGCTGTTATAATGAAATGTTTCTACTAATTTTGTGGTTTTTAAATAAATAATTTAAAAAGTCATTATTGACTTTTCAATGTAATAGATATTCTCAGCCTAATCATTCCAGTATCTTTGCTATCTAGCAAATCTCCCACCACTGATTGAGTCTTGTTTCATAAATATTTTATCACAAGCTGCCAAAATGCCTTTTATAGATTTCTGTGACCAGCAAGTTCTGTGACCAGCATTACTATCCATCTCTCTGTGTCAGACCATGGTGCTATAGTCTGGGCTCACAGGGTCCCTGAATAAACCATAAGGACAAACTGATCAAAGTTCAACACTAAAATAGAGACCAGTAGATAAACCATAACCACAGGGGATAGAGTGCAAGAGAAACAGAGAGGGAAGAAGTAGCATAAACGAGAGTGTATCAACAGATCCAAGGAATGATAGAAAACAAAAACATCCCTACAGAGGACTGGAAACTCCTAAAACAACCATAGACATCATTAAAAGCGAAACCCATACCCAACCACATTAACTGTCATAACACTAATGCCAGGACCAAGATGTTCACCTGCTAAACTAAGCGCTTTGGGCTTGATAATAATTACCATTGACAGAACAAGGCAGAAAAGCGTTCATTTCAGTCATGAGGTGATACTTAGGCATTTTTGTAATGGTTTTTGTTTTTTAATTAGAAGAAGCATTTCATTAAAACAGCATTAACCTATTCAATAACATTTTTCTGAGCTAGGGTACATCTCTTTCAAAATTGGCTGTACATTTCTAGGTTTACAGATGAATTATTACACTTATATAATCTTTTACTCATTATAAACTCTATAAGACATAAAATT